AATCCTCATTTGGAGGATGAATAAACACTCTATTCCACTCATCCGTATCTGACACTGAAGAAAGAAACTTTGCTGACAGCTCTCCTCAAAACTACATTATAATTGTTGTATTCCCACTTTTTTTTTTTTTTTTTTTAATCCTTGAAAGAAATACAACCTAAAATGCTGGCCAAATTGAATCAGCAGAGCTTTTCAGCAGATCCTGTTTTCAACCTGGGAAACTCTACTTCAGCAACAATCCTGTTTATCTTCTTTCATTCCCAACATTTTGTAAAGTTTCATTAATAATTGTGAACCATTGGGGGAAAAAAAAAAAGCCTTAAAACCGTGAGGTGTCATTGCTCATGTAGTAAGCAAGAAACAAGCAATTCAGACAGCATTCCCAAGTGTTCTGAAAGACCTGGAATTGTTTCTCACTCCTCCTTCACTCTTAACTTTAAGGCTAAACTCTTCAAAAAATGACTTCTTATCTTGCTTTAAAAAGTCAGTATTAAAGACATACTTGAGGCAAAGTTGTGCCAAACAGGTGTCCCTGTTTATTGGGCACTATTTCTTTCTCTCAGTGTGAATGAGGATTAAGCAGCAGAGTTGCTAGTGGCTCTTCTGTTCCTTTCACAGAATCACAGAATCGTAGGGGTTGGAAGGGACCTCCAGAGATCATCGAGTCCAACCCCCTGCCAAAGCAGGTTCCCTACAGCAGGTCGCACAGGTCGGCATCCAGGCAGGTCTGGAACATCTCCAGAGAAGGAGACTCCACCACCTCCCTGGCAGCCTGTTCCAGTGCTCCGTCACCTCACTGCAGCTCAGTCAAGTTAGAGAACATGCAAGAATGAACATCTTTCTCTTTATTCCTTCGTGCCACGTTTGGATATAAAAGCGCTTAATCCTGTAATTTTCATAATAGAACCTTTTGGTTTTTCTTGTTTTCATTTATTTATGGAGTGATGAAAGCCACTTTTCATTAGTGGCTAAAAGCAAGCGAGGTGTTTAGTTACATACTATAGCCTATGTGCAACACTTGTGCAGTATGCGTAAGTCTGAAGTCATGCAGTGTGTGCAAGTGGGTTTTCCAGCCACTCCAGAGAAACCAGATGGGAAGAAAAAAGCTCAAGGGAAACAAAATGTCACTGCATAAGAAAATTACAAAACAGAAATAACCAGAAATATACAGCTTCTTTACAGGCCAGATGTTGGAAACACCAGCTTCCACTGAATCAACATTTAAGGAGTTCCAGTGCTCTGTGTGCATATAATGGAGGCTGATGAGATAAACCTATGAAAATCAAGGACTGTGCTTCTCAAAGGAACATGTGCTATGTTGACACAGCCACTGGTCTCAAAAGCAGCACTCTAGCTACACTGAGTTGTGTTGATTCTGTTAGCTATTCATACATGCAGATAGACATCTAAGAGATGTCAAAACCTTTGAGATTATGAAAGTTCCGATGATGGCAACACATGGTCTTAACTCACTTTAGTAACAGAACTCAAATTGTTAACTGAGTTGTGGATGCCCTATCCTGGATGTGCCCAGGGCCATGTTGGAAGGGGCCCTGGGCAGCCTGAGCTGGTGGCTGGCAGCCAGCCCACGGCAGGGTTTGGAGCTGGTTGGGCTTCAAGGTCCCTTCCAACCCAAGCCATTCTGTGATTCTGTGATTTCCAGGACAATTTATCCTAGGAGGAAGTAGGCCTGAGAAATCATTGTAACAACTTGAGAACGTCCCAATAAAAGAATAGCTCACATTGAAACTGAAGATTTTCTTTTTTGCTTGAAGCTAACAATTAGATCTCTAAGTTTGTATTATTAACAAAAAACTATAAATAAATAAAAAATAAATTATGTTATTATACAATTATCTAAATCATATGAAGTTGTCATGAAAGGAGTGCAAGTCAGAACTAATTATAAGCATTTTTACCTGGAAACCTTCACCTTTAACAATTCCAACCACAGCGTGTTTGCACTGCTGGTGAACCCTACTGTATCTGGGATATTTTCTTACCTTTTAACACTGCCCCACTGGTATTACTGCTCTAACTTCTTATGATGTAATTTAAGCAACCTCAGCTCAGGTCTGTACAACACTTAACATACATGTCTTTATCGTAACTTTTCATTCTCATTTGTCTGTTCCAATGCTTTTTTCCACCTTCAAGCCATGCACCTTTTTATGATCTTTTACTCATCCTCAGCTTTTAGTTTCTCATGCGGTTAAAGCGAGACATGCCTATTTTTAGCACATTAAAAATATTCCAGGAACTACAAAACTGTTTGTCATCTCTGTTGGTAGGGCCTGATAGTTTTCATTTGTTAGCTGGTTGAAAATAACATGGAATTCAATTATCTTGCTGTTGTTGATAAGGTTTACATTTTTTAGATAATTTCAGCCTTGACTTCATGCTGCTCCTTCCCAACACATATCCCCTATCCTTGCTTTCCACAGAAAGCAAGCATCTTTTTTAATTTGGTTACCAGAAGAGTATTTTTTATAATTATGCTTGTACTTTTACTTAATATTTAGTGAAGTTGAAAGGATGCTGGCATTTTTATATCCACGCTTCAGTAAGAGGTGGATAAATCCAGTTAGCTCTCTTTCATGTATACTTTGTACTGTTTCACGAAAACAGCATACTGAGGAAAAAAAACAAAGAAAAACTGATAGATCTCTGTAACATAAACACATTTTTTTTCTCCCATTAGATATCTATCTTTCTATATAGAATTTATGTCTGAAAGGAATGTGGCTGTAGCATTTTCCATTAAAGTTTTGTGCTGCTAAACCTTTCTTGGCAAAGATTATGGTATGGTAAAGAAACTCAATTGCTTGCTTGACAGATTGTTCCAACAAAAATGTAGAGAGGGAAAAAAGTTGCTAATTATTTCAGTAATGAGATCTAGGGGGAAAAGAAATTTTAATCCCTTTTGCTTTGACAGGCTGCAAACAGGACACCAAATGGGATATATTTAATAAATAAACACTGCAGTCTGATCCAGCTACAGCCAAGTCCTTACTCAGCCTTCTCTTTCTGAAGTCATTTGGAATCTGGTCAAGTAGAGATAAAGAGCTCGTTTCATTTTTAGATGCAAGCTGAGCATTGGTGCATCCAAACTGAGTCAGGAATCTGATACTGGGGAGAGGTGGGAGTGTGAAGGGACAAAGGAGCTTTGTTTTTGTACTTCTGGTCTAGGCTTTAGCTGTCTTGTAATCAAGTCGAGTTAGAACACCCAGTGTTTACCTGTAGTTGTCACCTGATATCTTAAAAAAGCTGTTCTAGAGTCTGCATGTATCTGTGCTGCAGCTGTATTATTGATACATTACTTCTTGTTTGAAGAATCTTTTCCCCAGAGTTAACTGGAATAGCGGCGTGGAGAGGCCCTCTAAACAAAGTAAAACCTCAGCTGTCCACACAATTGCTTGGCAGAAAAACATGTGATGATACAGCATGGGTCGATTATGAATCTCAGATGTAGACCATACAATCCACTCTACACAGTTCAGTACAATTGCTCACAAAAGAGAAGTTTCAGCAATTGGATCGGATTCTCTTCTGGAGCCACAGATCAGGAATCACCCCATAAATGGAACTGTGTAAGCATTCAACTGAGATCTAAATCATGGAAAACTTGGGACTCATACAGTCCAATCACATTAAATTAATATTTTTAATTGTATTTGGAATAAAACACCATGTACAGATCTTTTCTCACTAGTTTCTAGTCAGCAACATTTAAGTTTTAGAATCACTTGTGTCAGTAACTGGGTGAGTGAGAAAGGCATTTGAAAGCAAGCAAGCACCCACCCAGCATTACAGATTGACTGCAGCAGATGCCTGAGGATCAGACAGCTGATAATACGTTTTAGCGTGCTTCAATGCATTTGCTGGTACAATCAAGGGTACCTCTTGACCTTGATTTTACAATGTAATGTTTTATCCTTAGAGCACTGCCCAAAAATAGAAGAAGCAGCACTACAAATTCTGACCTTTTAGTTGAATATCCTGCTTTAGAGTGATACCAGAACTCCATCAAGAGCATGAACACTGCTATTATTATCACAGTGTAGCGCCTTTACACTCTACATTATGTAGGTTATTCTTCAACCTTTTTTATGTGAATGGTCTCACTGATGTACTTCAGCAAGGACTGCTCCATCATGCACTAAACAGTTACTTCACGTGTTATACAGGCCATATCTGAGTGCATTTTTTAACACCTTTAACATCTCGGTCAGCAGGCATTAACAGTTGCCTCAGTGGTGCAATTGCCTCAGTGACAGAATGAAGTGACAGCTTGAAAATGGAAACAGCACAAGATCTTATGTTGGGCAGTCTGGAACCAACATAGATTATTTAAAAAATAAGAGGACAAAAAGTTTAGTTTTTTTATATAATATTTTATTTTGTGTGTGTGCGCCAAAGAACACGCTCAGAGAATACTTTATTGAGAGATTTTCACACTGTATCTCAGATTGATACCCTGGCCATTGGTTATGTGGGATATGACCTCATAGGTTCTGTCTTCCCATTTTCACGTGACATTGATTTACTACTTCAGACATTTGCCCTAACTGACTCCTGAAGACTTCTGACTTCCTTCACTCCTTTTAAATTCTAACTTTTTTATTCCACAGAACATTCTGAATTAGCAATTTCATGTAAATTTTAAACTTTAAACTTGTCTGGCTAATGTACTCATCTATATCATCAGCGAAAAATCAATGTAATCATTCACTTGAAGTACTAAATCTTACAGCAGAATCACTGAGTACATTTAATATCAGAGCCATGAGTGTACTAACAGAGTCTAATTGCTTTAACCAGCTTTTCCTGGTGTGTCCAGACACCCCATTTAAATCACAGCCCTGGGTCTTCTACCCCTTCCTGAGCCATGCTGTGAGTGTGCTGGTCCAGCTCCACGTTCAGCTTTGGTACAGCCATGTCCACACCTGGTCATAGCCTTCCCTTATTGAAGCCTGACTGTCTTCTTGGCTTTATTGCAGCCCTGCCTTTGCCACCGTGGACTTGGATGCAATCACCAGCCCGCATCTCACCTTGCTGTCACTGGACCTGACCTTGATCTGCAGATTGACTTCTAGGCGTCACCTCATACCTGCCTCCTCATTACGAGCCTGTGGGATGAGCTGGGCTGCTGGCTGACCCCAGCTGCCAACCTGGAACTGCGTGCTGCGGGGATTGGCCCTGCCTTGATACCCACTAATCGTGCCTGGTTCCTGCCTCCCTGCACTTGGGGAGCAGCTGGCCTGCTGCATATATGTATCTCTCAAAAATATTTAGAGTGTATAGCAGTTCTCCAGGCATATTTAAGAGTTTTATTTTCTTTAGAGAAGAAAATGATGTGAAAATGATGGAAAGATGATTGTGTTGCTGGACTTTTTAGTTAGCAAAGGAAGTTCTTTCTGACTCTGGGTTAACATGGCTTATCAGTCTGTGCCATAGCCATGAACTAACTACTCATTCTGTATTATTATAAACATTAAGTAATTATTTGAAATCTCATCAGCTCATTATAATAAATTGAAGTAAGCTTTTTGAATCAGTCAGAGTGATCACTTCTCTTCAACTAGCATAGTTTTACTGTAGAAGTCTTTATATGGCTAATTTAGAATTGACACACTCACCAAGAAAATGTGTTTATAAGCATTAAAATTATGAAGTAACGATACATGAGAGACCATGAAATAATTCAACCATAAAGCCTGAATAGAAGTACAGATATTTTATAAAGAAGCAGGCAGATCTTTCCTAGTATCTGTTGCTTCAGGTATTGGAGACTTGGAGACTGTCTTCTGTATTTCAGAAGTCTCGTGAGATTACCAGTGAAGCTCAGTGAAATGCCATGTATGTAGACAAGTATTAACCAGAGTCGAGTTTGTCTTTGCTCCACACTAACTGATTTCATTGGGTGTTTTATCAGACCTCTTTCAGTGTCCAGTTGTCCATTGGCTTTTAAAAGTAAACATACAGAGCTGGATGGAAGAATCACTTGGCTTCTTTCAGCAACATATGATTCTTTTTAGAGTCTTTGTGGATCTTGCTGACCCATTGGGCTTAAGATAGGTAAAACAAGTTTCTCTTAGATGTCTGACACTGTAAGACAGAATGTCACAAGGAATTTACTGATCACAGGGAGAAAATGTCACTTACCAATCTTTAAAAACAAATAATTTCTCCCTTTGGTATCGTTCTACCAGTGAAACTGTATTTTCTGCAGAGGCTAGCACAAAACACCCAGGAGTAGAACTGCGTAAAGATAACTGTTTATTCCTGCTCTGCTCTATCTTCCTGACATGAAAAATGAATGGTTGGGACTGGGGAGGGGAAGGAACAGGTGACAGATACTACTTGCTCCGAAACTGCTGCTGACAAGCTGTTTTCAACTAAGCCACATTCCAGGAGATGTTTCTCTTTTGAATACTTACAATTCCTAATGATTATTTTAGGTATCTTTGGCTTTGAAAAATCCCTCGTGCAAAATGAAGTAATATTTACTTTAAAAATAAAAATACACAGCTGAGAAGCAATGGCAACTGCTCAGCAACAAAAACAGTTTTCCATCACCGTGTCCAACTATTTGGAGAAAAACAATGCAAGAACACTGGTTTCAAGAAGTGATTTAAAATGATTTGGCTCTTTATCCAACACTTCTAAGAACTGCCTGCATTAAGAAAGATATATTGCTGAAACAGCGGATTTACCATCAACTATTACTGCACTTGAGCTCCTCTGAACACTGTTTTTGAGTTGTTGTTGAGGTTTGGAATTTTTGGACGGACTTAACACAATGGCGGATTCTTGAGCTAACATAAACTTTTCTTTGTACCTACGAAAACTGAAGACTGCATTTCTAACTTCTTTGCTGTCTACCTTGTTTTCTATAGGAAATACTGACTGCACCAGAGAAAAGCTGTCATGCTTTTCTCTTTTGTTGTTGAACTGCAAGACTACCCTTGCCTAAATATGAAAGAGAAACCTGCAAAACAAGAATTGCAAGCTTCACTGAGATATAACAAGCCAAATTAATTCTTGAGGTAAGTACACAAAACAAATGCTGTTAGAAGACACTTCTCTATCAGGGGAAGATTTCATTAATTATAGTGAAGAATAGCTTAAAATAGTTTATACTGTAAGATCACTGCATTTGTATTTGAGGCAGTACACTTACAGTGGATAATCATTTGTTTTGTCACTAGCAGTAACTCTTGAGTAATACATTTTCACTTGCAGTTGTTCCCTACTTTCAGGTCAGTGCAGGGAGAGTCCATTACATGATTTCAAGCTGCTCCAAATAAAGCAAACAGTTTTGATTTCTTCAAGGGAATTTACTGACTATATCAATCACAAAACTTTGAATGACATTAAGCCTGCAGATTACTACTCATGTTAAGCGTGAGGTTTCCTGACCTCACAGACAGTAGTAGAAGTACAACCAGCAGAACACTGGAAAAAGTTAGGAAAGCTATTACAATTGTTTTGTCAATCTAAAATTCTTGAGTCATAGAAGCATAGCCATGGATTCCTATCATAAAGACGATATAGAATATAGAAGCCATATTCTATTTTGAAAAAATTAATAAGCTAATAAGAAAAATTGGAGAATGTATGATTTTCTTTCTGCATTCTTTCTCATCGTGGATTTTTATTTATTCCTTTAGCTGACATATCATAACACACAAAAACACAGCCCAGGAAACACAAAGAAAACGAAGCGATGTAAAGGCCACGCAAAGAAGAGGACACACGTTGTCCTTCCCATTGGCACAAAGCTAACCGTAGTGCTGTAAGAGGGAAGGCACACAGCTGGAGGTGAGGGGCTCCGAGCTTCGTGCCCTCGCTCAGTGCAGTGCCCATCTCAGCTCCGTGAGAGCTGCCGTGCAGGCTGGAGCCTTTCGGCAGGCACCCGAGCGGGGCGTTTTCAACACGCACACCGAGGAGCTGTGGATAACGCTGCGTCGTGCCCTTGCACCCCACGGGATGTTCAGACTGAAGCGGGTTTGGTGCAATACTTTGTTGCTAATTACGTGCATCTGAGTGAATTCGTTTTAGTAATTCAGTGCTTAAAAAGAAAATTCCTCTCGTATCTTTCGGTTGTAATGTGGGAAACCACCCCGGTCCCGTTAGCCGCCGGTGGCAGCTCAGCCCCGTGCGCTGCGTCCACCATTTCGTCGCTGCCTGCAGCTCCGCGCCCGCTGCCCCGTCAAGATGGCTGCCGCCGCCCCGCGCGTTCCCCGCCTCGACCCCGTTCCTCTCAGCCCCAGGCCCCGCTTCCAAGACGTGGAACGGAGCGCCCGCCGGAGGGCGGGGGGAGCGCGCGGGAGCAGGGAGGGGGCCGAGGCAGCTCCGCGCGGGCACGGCAGCGGGCGGGCCGGGGACGTCCGAGCGTGGTGCGAGACTCCCTGAGGCGCGGCCCGGTCCCGCCGCCGGTTTTTGCCGCATCACTGGGCGGCGCGGTGCCGCCTCCGGTATGGGGGAAGGGAGAGGCGAGCAGAGGAAACCGGAGCTGCTTAGGCGGTGAGTCACAGCGCGAGGGACAGGGAGGGGCAGGGCGGTGCCGTAGCGCCCGCCAGCAGCCCGACTGCGCCGCGCCGTCCTGCACCGCACCGGGAGCTCCCGCCAAAGCCGCGCTCCCGACTCTGCCCCCCCAGCACGCAGCCGAGAGCACGGAGGCGCCAGGCGGAGGGGGGGGTAGGGGGGCGGCTCTTCCCGCCTTCCGGCAGCGATGATTGGTTGTTTACGTTCTCAACTCTGATTGGCCATCCGGAAAAGCGTTCTCACTCATTGGCTGAGAGGTGGACTCGAGCGAGCCGTGTGCAGAGTTGTAGGGACGGGCGGGGCCATCTAGGGGAGAGCGCGCTGGGCCGTGTGCAAGCCGCGTGTGGCGCAGCCAGAAGGGATCCGGGAGCGGCGGGTACGGCCGGCAGCCAGCGGGGCCTAGCGACGTGCGGGCGCGCTTCTGCCGCAGCGGGGTTCGGAGTCTGCAGGTAACCGCCATGCAGGGCGGGAGGGCCGGGCGCCGGGCCGGGAGCGGGAGATGGCGGCGGGATGATGGCGCTGGCGCACTCCGGCCTAGCGCGCGGGAAAGCGGAGCCGGCCGGGTTCGGGGCGGGGAGCGGGGCCGGAGGGCGCCGGGAGGGCGCGGGGCCCAGCGGGACGGCCGAGAGGTGGCGGTGAGTTGGGTGCGGGCGGGCTGCGGGTGGCGCCGGGGAGCCCGCACCGCTCTGGGGGATGGGAGGCCCGGCCGGGCGGGGGCCGTCCCGTGTCGCTCTCCGCGCGGTGGCGGCCTCCTTCGGGGTGCGGTTCCGCGGTTCCGCGCTGCTCTGGGGCGGGTGGTGGCGCGGGCACCTCGTGGCGGGGGCAGGGCGGGCGGTGCGGGCTGGGAACGGCGCCGCGCGGCGGGGAAGCGCGGGTAGAGCGAGCCCCGGGGCCGGCGGGACGTGGGTGGAATAAAAGCGTTCTGGTTTTTCTTTCTATTTTTTTTTTCTTTTTTTTAACGATTTCTGTCTTTTTAAATCTCTCCCGAAGCCCGCTCCGCCGGGACGGACGGGGCACGCTGGCGGAGGTAGTGCGGCCTCGGCCCGACGCACCACGTGGCTCCCCACGTGCTGGGCCTCCGCGGGCTGAGGGTCGAGGTGTTGCAACTATGGGTCTCCGACCACGGGCGCTGACGGTGGACGCACATCCAAGTGCGACCTGTAAATGGATAGGAAAAACAGTCTGACATCTGCAGAGCACCAACCAGAGGAGATGCTTTTTTTTTTTTTTCTTTTTTAAGTTCCTGTCAGACTTAGTTTTCAAGTAACTGCTGTTACTCATTTAGTATCCAGAACGGTCATAAGGCGTTATTAAATGTAATAGTAGGTTCTGCTTTAATTTCAGCACTTAATTAGATCCCTTCACATTAGAGTTGCCTGCTCCGTGATTTCTTCCTCAGTGCAGAATGGTGTAGAGAGCCATCCTGTGCCCGTCCTCCAATTGGTTCCATGAATTTGCCAGGGCTGCATAACAGCTGTGTTAGTGCCATGCCTCACCTCCCTTGGGTTTTTTCCCATTAACTCATTTCATTAATATGATATTTGCACATTACTGACATTGCTCACTTTTCCTAAGTTTGAAACTTGGTCCAAATAGCAATAACAATTAAAAGGGAAAGAAGAGAGATACATATTTGGCATGCGTGTCATAGCCATACAACTGGCTAGTAGAGATAGGAAGAGCTCCGCTTTCAGCTTCTGCAGGTTTGCTTGAACTTTCAAGCTGCTTCCTTTGGAAATTAAGTATTGTTATTTGGTGCCCAGAATACTTAAGTTTTGTATCTTTCCTAGTAACAATAAAACCTGGAGGCTGAGGCACTGCTAAATGCTCTATCATGTTTTCAGGTTACAGGTGGGGAAGTTCAACTAAACATACACTGAGGAGTTTCCATGGCAGTACTGTCTCTTGAATTCTGGAATTCCCAAACATTTTTCTTAAGGAAATAAAACTGTCTGTAGGTAGTTATTATTTTAAATGAGTAATATTTTAACTACTCCACTGGAACTGAATGCTAGTACTTTGTTAGTATTGCTTTATATTTATTGATCTTCTGAAAAAGCAGAGGTCTGCTGCTGTTGCACAGGGTTTTTAACATTTCAAGTGGGCTCTGGCTGACGTATCCCATTTGACTATGGCATGGTGCACGGGTCACCAGCAGCCTGCATGGAAATGGGTGGTTTCTAACAGTGTTTGCCGAAAAGGTTTCAAGTATATGGGGGTTAGTGCTTTCTCTCTAGTCTGTCCGTTTTAGTGTAGTCCTATTAATATCAGATGTGATGCTTGTAGATCAGAGGGAGCATTCGGTAAGTATAATGGCTATAATTGCCTCTGGTACATTCAGCTTAAACTGTTAGCAAGCTGTTGAATTCTGAGGAACTGCTAGCATTTAGAGGAATCTTGAGTAATACGTGTCACCTGTAATTGCAACGGTTGTCTGCTGCTCCAAAGCAGTTATGTTGCTCTCGGTATGTTCCTTCCTGTTTTAGTCCATCCCTTCTGTAAAACAGTGCTTGTACAGAAAGGACTGCTCATTCATTTCTAAGGGACATTACAGTACTGGACAGGAGTTGCTGTTCAGTGTTCATGGCTTTTCATACTATGAAATGTGATGTGAAGTGCATGTAAAGTACAGAGGAGGTATTAACAGGCAATGCTTAAATAAGTACATATTAAACTGTTTTCATGAAGGCTCCCTAAAGTAGGCAAAGGGGAACATGTGTTCAGAGTGGGAGACTATAGGTCTGTGGGCCTGATCTTTTCTCCTTAGTATTTTCACACATTACAGCTCTCTTGCCATTATGTGGAACAGAGCAGGGTTTGGCAAAGAAAAATACATTATTGCTGCCTCTCTTAAACAAAACCTGCACTGTTTTTTTCTGTGTGGCAAAAGGTAGTATCAAAAGTGGAACTTCTGCTGCCTGTTGCGTTACTCGGGGTTGTTCTGAACAAATTCTAGCTTCAGCTTGTCAACTGATTTTGGAGGTTGCAGTCAAATGTCTTTCAGATAACTGGAATAAGTGTTCAGTACTGGAGTATTGCCAGAAATGCTTTGCTTCCCTAATTGGAACAGGGTTAGGTTAGTGGGAAATTTAGCTTCCTCATTACCAGAGGAGCTCAAGTTAGTTTTACTTTGATCTGTTACAGCAGACTCTAGGTGCTGCCTGAGAAAGTAGAAGCCATAGAATAAGGAACATCACAGAGGAGCTCAGTGGTAGTTCTTTCCATTTTCTGGTGTAGTTGGGCTACTGACTCAAACTGGGAAATTTGAGTAAGTTTGTGAAGACTGGATAGTAAGTGTTGTAACTGAAAAACCACAGAAGAATGTCCATACTGCATTTCAACAGAAGCGTCTTGAGTTCATCGTGTCAAAGTTTGGTGCTAAGGCTGCAGTCAGAAGAGTCAAATCTGACATAGGAAACCATTGTGATAATGCAGCTTTAAATCTGTGAGCTGCTCAGCTCTTTAACTTCAGTAGTAGGGTGGTCATCCAGAACCAAGTCTAAAGTAAATGGGATTCACTGAATAGTGAACAAGGTGATAACTTCAGCTTCAGACTACAGCTGAGGGTGTCTGTACAGTGAGCTCTGGTAAACATCTGCCTTCTCTCCTTTGTAGGGAGATGTTATTTGAGGCGACTTCATTTGTTGCCTTTGAAGTTTTGGAATTTTAACTGAGCCACTGTCTCATCAGATCTGTCTTGCAGAATTTGACCAGGTTTGGATAAGCGAGATGAGCCTGTAGTTCTTCACTTCATTTTTTCTGTGTAGACTCTGGTGAGGTGAAAGGGGGGTAAAATTGTTCTGGAATGTAAGCAAATGGGGGGGAGTTGACTTGTGTAACAAGAGTTAAAGAAGTCATTGGTAGATGAGACTGAGTGAAAACAGCATGAGCTAACTGCCTTGGTACAGAAGGCTCATGGAAAATGGCCTTGGTAGATAGAAGGAATTGCTGAGAAGTAATCTGTGATGACTCCATGAAGAAGTAGTGACTAATAGAGGAGCACTTGTGTGGTTTTCTAACTTTATTTTTTGTCTTGTAAGTAACTGAATCATGAAGCTGTGTCCAAACTGCTTGGAGGGTATCCATTTAAGGACTTGTCTTCTGAACTGGCCTTTTCTGGATACTGTTCATAAAAAGTGTCTGGCTTAATTGGAAAGCTAAATTCTTAACTCTTCTTAAAATGTTTATGTAGTTGATGAACTTTGCCCTGTTTCTTAGAGCACGGGGTGAATTAAAACTAGTATCGGTTAAATCCACCTCTAGCAGATGAACTTGCATTCAGTTTCAGATCTTCAAGAACAGAGCAAACATTGAGCATTAAATACTGGTGAGGAGAGGAAGTCCAGGCAAACTGCTTGGTGCTTTCAAGTGTTCAAAGTATCCGAGGATGCAGTAGTACGCTTCGTAATTGTGTTGATTGCAGCTGTGACCTTCAGAGATGTCAGAGTTCAGGGAAAAAAGCAGGCCTTTGAAGAGTAAGGTTGCGAGGTGAATCTGTCTTGTTCAAGCTGTGCAAACACTGTTGTTTGTCTTTCTCTGGATTTCTCACTCAGTTTGCCTTATCTTATTTGGCCTTCTTGATAAATAGCGGAAGAGAAGAGTTTTTCTCTTCGAGTCTTTAAAAAGTTAGGTTCAGATGTAAAAGTACATCTCAGATTGCTCTGGAGCAGTGAGTACTGTGCTGTTTTGCACCTTGTGCTTACAGTTACTGGTAAAGGAGATGTGGGCTGACAGCATATCCTATTTGAGAAACTTCCACTGTGTTTCTGAAGGAGATCTAGTTCACTTATAGAACATTTCTCTTACTGTACATCAGCTTGACTGGTTTGATATGCAGGTAACTGTTGGGGATACTTCCTCATTGCTTCATGTTGAAGTGTCAGATGTATGGTTTGAATGAGACCCTGGGAGTTACTGCTTCAATCAATAGGCATGTATTCCTGTTCAGTTCAAACCGTTGCAAACTGAGCCAGGAGTTGTCTTGATACGCAAATTGGAGGCTCCATCTTGTGCCTCTTGAAATGAAAAGCAGCATCAAGTATTGAGGGGCCTGAGATCAGCTCCTGCAGCTGGCTTTGCCTGTGTTTTCTGCTGTGTCAACATGGTTGCTATGAAAGCAAGCATAAACAGTGGCACAGAGTACCAGCTGCTGCCACCATTACAGAGAGCTCTTCACCTTTGGGTGTCCTAATACATTTGAAACTTTGAACAGTGCGATGGACCAGTGAATACCTGCTAGCATGTGAAATGACTTAGTTTATTGTATCTTAGGCACTCATACAGCCAGCTTTATTCTTAACATTTGTGTCCTGCAGAATTTCATTTTTGAACAGCAGCTGGAAGATGTGGGATTACAGAAGTAGCATATGAAACTTCTCTCATATTTTAAATTCTCCTGCTTTTACTGTGGTGGGAGAGACAGATGGTCACTGGTAGAAGGTGACTGAAGAGGAAGGAAGTGTTCTGAGAAAGGAGTGGCTAAGCCACTGTAATTCATTCTACATTCAAGTACCTTAAAAATAACTGAATAAAAATTGATGTTCATATCTTAAATCATAGAATCACTAAGGTTGGAAAAGACCCACAGGATCACCCAGTCCAACCATAAATGGATATGGTATATCTCCATGCTGGAGTGCTAGTTCTGGTTCCTACTTGAGATCATGTGTCTTGCTGCTTCTATAAGGACTTCTTCAGGATGCTGTGTATTCATGTTCCTGGTGGTTTGGGACCTTGAACAGTTGTTTTTTAAGTACTGGTGCTTCTGGTCATAATACTAAGATGTCACTTCTTTCTTAAAAGTGTCCCTGTGGGAACATACAGATAATATTCCTGTTGTTCTGGTATTAAACTTGATTTAAAAATAGTTTCCGTAACATGGATAAACTAGGAAAATCAGTCTGGAGATGAGATAGCCTAATGGAAGTAGAATTATTAGTGGTAAGAGTAAGGAATTGGGTGAGGCCTAAGGAGCATTCAGGCAGTTTGAGACTTCATGAAAGCAAAGCTTAATACGCAAATTTCTAAATCAGTGTACTTCAAACTTAATATTTAACTGAAGCCTAATCTAACTTGTTCTTTTGCATCTAGTTCTAAGAAGTGTTGCTTTGTGTTACACCTTAGGGGGGGAGGTAAAAGTACAGTGATTGCAATCTGTTTAACCTGCCCCATCCTGACTATGTTCTGTGGTCTGTAGCAGACTGACTTTCCTGCTCAATGAACCACCTTCCTCCATTCCCCAATATGGGCAAAAGTGCTTTGTACTGTCATGGACAGGCGTGCCTATCTGATGTTTCCCTAGCATTCTAAGGATGTTTTCCAAGTTAGCCTTGTAGATATCTGGCCAGTGTCTGATGTCTCTTAAGGAGCCAGATTTCTTAAACATTTTCTTTTGTGTAAACTAGGGAGTGAAGAGTGAAGTATGAACCCTGAACTGTGAGATACTGTATTGAAATACATGGAGAAATGGTGGTTCTTCGTGTCAGGTCTAACTGCTCTTTCAGTAGTGGAAGCACTGCAGTCTTTCATACAACTGCATTGTGGCTTGTTCTTACAGGGTGTCTAGTATGTATTATATAGAATATATGTATATCTATGTAGAATTGATTAGTGAATGAACTCTGAGTAGCTGTCATCCACCCATTCCCATGAGAAATGTAACGACTACCAGGAAGAAATAATTCATAGATAGAAGTATCTGGCTTTTGAGCTTACCTGAGTGATAAGGAAGAGGTAGTTGCTTAAAAAGAGAGAGCAAAGACAGTGCTGTTAAAGCAGTAGTGAAGAAGTGCACTTTTACCCATTTTTAAGCATTTTGTAAACATTCGGAGTGAAGACTGGCTACAAAAACTGATGAAAGGAAGGGCTGTCTAGTTCACTGTGGTTTGAGCTGTTAGCAACTCCAAGCCGAAATGAGATACTGGCTATTATCATGGCTTTAATACTATTGCATGGGTATTGTACAAGAAAATTCAAGTCATAAGTTCTGCTTTGTTTCCAATTCCTATGCTAGAAGGACATGAAACCTCTAAGTTTCTTACTTTAATGTTTAGTTGGAGGAAGATGTTCTAAAAATGTGATTTGTTCTTGTTCTTTTTCCTCCTCAGGCAGCTGATCTGCAACCATGAGCAGCAACGAATGCTTCAAGTGCGGACGCACTGGCCATTGGGCCCGGGAGTGCCCAACTGGGATTGGCCGTGGTCGTGGGATGAGAAGCCGCGGCAGAGGTAACTCGGCTGGGTTTTCTGTTCGCTGTACAGTGAGATCTCTAGCTGGCTGCTTTGAGTAGTGCGTAAAATAGCATCTGGTCTGTCAAGAAGTAATACTGAATTTGTTAATGAAGTTACCTGGTTCTTAACCCTATAATTTTTTTTCCACTGTTTCTGAGACTAGACCTAATTTGTCTTTAGTTCAGGTGGCAGAGTCCTTGATTAACTTTTAGAGATGAAGAACATTCTTAAGTATTTTTTCTCTTGTTACTCATATCAAGCAGGCTTCCAGTTCATGTCTTCATCTCTCCCGGACATCTGTTACCGCTGTGGTGAGTCTGGCCATCTTGCCAAGGACTGTGATCTTCAGGAGGATGGTAAGTATCAATAAATATTCTTTCTCTTCAGTTACGTGGAGAGAGGCCTGTGGTTGAAGAGAAAGATGTTGTATGCTCATCATAATTAGCTGGAACAGACAAAAGTCCTTCATTAAGAGCATGCTACCCTTCACTTAACCAAGGTTTTATAGTCTTGTTTGGTATGTTTTTCTTATTGTGGAAGCCTGCTATAACTGCGGTAGAGGTGGCCATATTGCGAAGGACTGCAAGGAGCCGAAGAGGGAGAGAGAGCAGTGCTGCTACAACTGTGGCAAACCTGGCCACCTGGCTCGTGACTGTGACCATGCAGACGAGCAGAAATGCTACTCTTGTGGAGAATTTGGACACATTCAAAAAGACTGCACCAAAGTGAAATGCTATAGGTAAGAGCTGAGAGAACAGGTAAAAGCATGAACTGTACCCAAAGTGATAGATGCATTCTTTGTCTTACTTTGATGGGGAAGTTAAGCTTCAAACCTGGAGCGTAGCTTACTTTGAAAAATGGCTATCTACTGATACTTAAAACTGAGAGCTGTTAAATCGGTTTGAAAAGCTGGCTTCAAAATCCTGTTTGTTCTGTGAGCACGGAACACAACTGCAGGTCTTCTAGTGTGCAGTGATGACTGAGTTGATCAGTTGGGGAATGATTTTTTGCTATTGTTGAAGACAGTAATAGTGCTCATATCTAAGAATGTCTGAGAAGCAGAAGTCTTGAGTGCAGGTCTGGCATCACATGCATCTTCAGTAGATAATGCACTGGACAGAGTGGGTTTGGTTTTCTGTGCAACTGATGAACGGTTTCATTAAAAGCGTTCTTCGTTTCTGTTTTGTTTACCCCCTCCCCAGGTGTGGTGAAACTGGCCATGTAGCCATCAACTGCAGCAAGACCAGTGAAGTCAACTGCTATCGCTGCGGCGAGTCAGGGCACCTTGCACGGGAATGCACAATTGAAGCTACAGCCTAATTATTTTCCTTTGTCGCCCCTCCTTTTTCTGATTGATGGTTGTATTATTTTTCTCTGAATCCTCTTCACTGGCCAAAGGTTGGCAGATAGAGGCTACTCCCAGGCCAGTGAGCTTTACTTGCCGTGTAAAAGGAGGAAAGGGGTGGAAAAATCAACTTTCTGCATTTAACTACAAAAATGTTTATGTTTAGTTTGGTAGAGGTGTTATGTATAATGCTTTGTTAAAGAACCCCCTTTCCGTGCCACTGGTGAATAGGGATTGATGAGTGGGAAGAGTTGAGTCAGACCAGCAAACCCTCTCTGGGTTACATGGAAGTGATCCTATGCAGGAGAAAAGAAATTCTGGAAGTGTCTGAACTTCCTCATAACTTTAATTTTATTACAATGGCCTTGGATTGTCTGACCTCAGTAGCTGTTAACACCAAGTAATATCTGTATCAGGCCCTACATAGAGCATATAGCTGAGTGGGAGTAAATAAACAAGATGCACATGCCTGTTGATGGCCACGAGAGAGAGAGAAATCAGGAATAAACTTTAAAATACCAGTAATTCAGTCAGTGAATGTCCATGTTGGAGAAACAGAACGCAATGGGAAGCTTTTGAATAAATACTTCAAAGTAAATCTGAAACCCAGACATCAGTGCTCATAGCATATACAATTTGGAGCTATTCAGGAGTTGCAAATAAATGCATTTTCACAGAAATCAAGATGTTATTTTTGTATACTATATCACTTAGACAACTGAGTTTCATTTGCTTGTAATCAGTTTTTAAAGTAAGATGGTAAAAGCAATTGAAGTCCTAGAACATAGAAAATGTAATTTTAAACTATCAATAAAGCTGGAGGAGGAAGGGGAGTTTGGCTAAAATTCTTTGTTTATTTTTGGTTTTCATGTACACAGTGCAAAATAACATATTAAAAAGGGGTATGTGGAGGTGTAAAAAGTTTACTTTGGACTTCTCTTTTGTTCTGCCTTGCATCGAGTTTCTGTTCTGTAGCATCAGACTGTAAATACGCAGTCCTTGTTTCAGGCTGCTGAGCTGCCTGAGGATTACCTGCTCTGTGGGGGCTCGGGCTTCTTGCTTTGCTGGTGTGGATAAAGCATTTCTTTCATTATGACTTTGAAGACAGATCATGTTCTAGATGTGATCTGGAGTAGTTCCATAGTGTGCTGTGATACTTTGGCCTTCAGCTATCAGCACACAAACTAGTTAAAAGGCCAAGAAGTGCAAGTACATGCTGTTTTCATACTTTGTTCTCTAACATAACTCGTTTCTGAAGCTACACGCGAATTGCTGGCAGTAAGCACACGAAGGGTTTTCCACCTGATGTGAATGCAGGCAGTTGTTGACTGCTCAGTGGCTGACTAAGGGGGCGCTGGGGCCGCGCTGCTGTCTTTAGCTCGGGAATGCGAAGGAAAACCAGCTTCCAGGTGCCTGGGCGCTGCCCTGACGGCGAGTGGCAGCCTGTAGCGTAAGGAGGCAGCTAGCAGTGGGAGTGCTGGTGTTTGGAGCTGGTACAGCGGGCTGTGGGTGCTTTTGTGTGGGCGCTCCCGTTTGAAGTTGTGGGTCGTGTTGGGTGAACGGAGGCGTCCTCAATCCGTGGCAAATGGCGCGGAGCCTTGGGCGCGGCGGCCTGCGCGGCCCGCTTCTCTTCTCCGGGCCGCGCATGCGCAGTTAAGCGGTGCGGCGCTGACGGAGCGGGCCGCCGAGCGGGGTGCGCACGCGCACGAGAGCGAGGCGCCGAGCAGAGGACTTTGCCGCCGTGCAACGCGCTGAGGCGAAGTTCCGCTTCCGGGGTTACGGTGCGGCGCTTCCGGGTCCCGCCTGAGGGGTTGGCGAGAGATCGGCTGCAGCCATGGTGAGTGCGGGGCCTCGGCGCCGTTGTTGTCCTTTGCGTGGCGCTCGGGGCTGCTCCGGGAGGATGGGAAGTGAGGAGCCGCCAGGCGCCGTCGGAAATAACGCGTTTGTTTTCCATTACAGGCTCGGAACGCGGAGAAAGCCATGTGAGTACGGCTGGAGATGAGGCCGGCAGGCCGTGTGCTCGCTGCTCCGCGGCGGTGTCCTGTCGCTGTGCGCTGTCCGCATCCAGACACCCGCTGCGAGGCACTGCCGCTCCGACAGCGTTTGTCAGCGCCTTGCTGCGCGTGTCGCGCGGTTTGACGGCGCCGAACCGAACGGTGCGGTACCGCGTGCTGCCAGCAGCTCTGTTCCTTGACGGCTCCATGCTGGAACGCGTGGAACCGGTCAGATGCCGAGTCCGGTTATGCATTTAAAGGAAGGGTGTAAATTGCTCTCGGTTGTTTTGTGCTCGTTCACGTAACGACTGAATACCTTATAAACGAATGTAACTGCGTATTAAAAAGGTGAGGCCTGTGTAATCTGCTCCGGTGTGAGAGACTCAAAGTAGTCATGCCAATAAACTCGGCTACAAACTGCTGCATTCCTCACTGAAGCTTTTCTCGTCTTGATTTTTGTGTTTTGTTTACCCTTGATGCTTATAACTTATTGACACCCTTTGGTATTAAAACTTTAACATGCTGAAATATGCTAAATAGAAAAATCAGTTCATTTCTTGCTAGAGTTTGTGTTTACCAAATAAGTTAACGCCTGAGGTTTTCTAGAGTTGAAACAGTTGCTGCTGAGAAGAGCTAGTAAATGGATGTGTAAGCCTTGCTTTTCTACAAACTGTATTAAGTCCATAACAAAAAGCCACAGCAGAGCTTGCTACTGTTGGAGTTTAGTTGTGTAGAAGTAAATTTTGCTTCCTTTGTTGTTTTTTTTTTATTTTATTTTTAGGACAGCCTTGGCAAGGTTTCGTCAAGCTCAGCTTGAAGAAGGAAAAGTTAAGGTATGATGTGAAACAGTCAAAAAGCCTTATGGCTTTGTTAGCTCTGAGTGTCATGCAAGCTGTGTATGTAACTGTGGGACAGCTTCAGAACATCCATATGCTGGACGAAGGCATCGTATAGGAGTTAGATGTTCGTATATGGGAAGGGTTCAAGTAGAAACTGTGCTTCACTGTGTGACCAGAGAAAAAAAGTTAATAAAATTTTCTTAAACAACCTGGTTTGAAGGTTGTGTATATGTATGTTTGAGAGGTACATTGGCTGGGCTGATAATGGCAGGGAAAGATTGGGCATTGTGTATGTTTATGTAATATTTTAGGAAGAAGAATATCGAGTCGTTTAAAAAGCTGTAGTGGCATTTAGCTGCAGGCCGTGTGCTGGGCAGAAAATGATCTTTTGAGATTTATCTTCTGCAACTGCTTACAGAGGTTGATGTGCATACGCTTATTTTTACTGATTGTAATCATAGGGTTTGCTTGGATATTTTCCCAGAAAAGGTTGAAAAGTCCTTCTGATCTTCCTGTTTGTTGGTATAACAATAATATTGAAACAGGACCTTCAGAATCATTCTGAACTCGAGGCTTGCATATGACCCAACATTGGCATGTTACTAAACCAACACGTGATGTCTGCAGCTGACATAACTGCCTGATGTTTAAGGGTAAACTTGTGGAAGCACTGTAGGGAAAGGGTCAAAATGCTTGCATGCAGCATTCTGCAAATAAGATGAAATATTACCTTGTGCATGCAAGTCAGTGGACTGTGATGATTAGGAAAATCATTATTTTGGGTGAAGAATAGTGGGGAGAAGGTAAAATGAAGTTATGCTGGAGAAAAGTTACAGCATTTAGATTGTAGCAGTTAAGAAAGAAAGGCCTGAAATTAATTACTGCTTGGAAACCAGTGTTTTTTGTTTAGATGGCAGTATGCTAAAAATGATGTGGATTGCAGCTGTCTTAAATGAAGCATTGTTTTTGTAGAATGGTATTGTGGGGTGATACGAAGAAACAGGTGACAAGTTTTGCTTTGAATAACATTAAATTAAGTATATTGTAATGTTCTTGATGGTTTGTTTTGGTAGGTCTGTAAATAGTCATTTTTTCTACTTATAAAAAGTTGGTGGGAGCAGAAGTTACCAGCAGGAGGCTGGTAGCATAGTTTGGGACTAATTGAGAGGTAATGTTTGTATGGAATGCTGTGAGTGTATTGCTAGATTAAAGCTTTGCTGAGTGTGGCTTTTTATCAAACAGGAGCGAAGACCTTTCCTTGCATCAGAGTGTAATGAATTGCCAAAAGCTGAGAAGTGGAGACGGCAGGTAATGAGAAACCATAGTTTTTTTTATTTCTGTAACAGGTTGAACTTCTGTAAGCAGGCTGTCTGAAACTGAAGAGCCAAGTGTTCCAGACTTCTTGAGTATACAGGCAGTTAAATCGCAGAATGTTTTACCCTGGAATATGGTATCATTCACCACGCTTGTCCAGAGCTGATTCAGCCACGTTTTACTACCTAGGACCATATCCAATGCAGTTTTTAATATCTTATGGGATTGGGATTTCACAGCTTGTTCTGGGCCCCTGTGCAAGTGATTGAATACCTTCTTAATGAAGGTTGGATGGACATTCTTACCCACTGGCAAATCCTGTATTGGCTGCTCCTTGTCACCACCTGGGTCTTTCACTTCCTTGGGAGCCCCTTCTGGGAGGATTGGCTCCATAACCCTTTGGTCAGGCTGACCAGCCTGTCAGACAGTCCTTCAGTCCTTTCTGCCCTTCTTTGCCTGGAAAGTCAAAGGTGAAGTTGCTGGAAATATTTATTAGGAATTTGGTTATGACTGCTGCTGTAAAATAGTTCCATGTAGTTTAAGCCTCTGAGGTACTACATTTGTCTGAATAAAATGTTGGTATTTGAAATTGTTAAGCTCAGATCTACTTTCTGGATCAAAACAACTTCTAGAAGGATCTTACCACGTTTTCTAGTTGGTTGGGGGTGGATTTTTTTTTTCCTTTATGGAGAAATTCACTTCTGTGTTCTTGTTTAACTAGATCATTGGGGAAATTTCCAAGAAAGTGGCACAGATTCAAAATGGTAAGTTTTTCTAATAAAATTTTGTTTGAACCTGTAGTCCTACCCTGTTAGAGTAGAAGTAATGGTATTCCATGTGAGCTATGTGCTTAGAGTTGGATTAATTCTGGTGTTCTGGAGCTTCTTGTAAACTGCTTAATTTATTGTCTCTTTTCCCTCTGACAGCTGGATTAGGTGAATTCAGAATTCGGGACCTGAATGATGAAATAAACAAACTTCTGAGGGAAAAGGGGCACTGGGAAGTCCGAATAAGGGAGCTGGGAGGTCCTGATTATGCTGTAAGTGTAGACTGTTTTGTACTGTGTGGTTCTTCCAAGTGACTAACAAAAAATCTTATGTTCAATGTTTATTATTTGTCCAATGTTTACTAGAGAAGAATTTAATTCAGTCCCTAAATATTCTTTCTAGCACGATCTGACATACTTGTTTCCATGATGAGCAAATTTGACTTTGCTTTTGAAACACTACTTTAAGCAGTGTTACCCTTCTGTTAAAAGTTCACAGCAATGTTCTGATTTGACCCAGCAGTAGGCCTTGTTTTTTCTGCTTTATACCTCATTAGTGTGTAGAAAGATTTTAACTTGGGTCACCTCGTTACTGCTAAAAACAAAATAATGAGACTCTCGCTTTCCAGAGCACTGAAGGTGTGTTTATTGTCAGACACACTGGTGCTTATTTGTGGGATAGCAAAATACACTGGGGCAGAGAATAAAAGAGCTTTACAAGGTGAATCAGGTATGGGCCCTTCGTGGTTTGCAGTGTTGTTTTAACTGTGTGATGTCTGCTAAAAGTAGATGGTATATAAAAATGAGCTATGAGGGCGCTGTACTTGTTCTCTATCAGTTCAAACCACCCTACGTCTGTTTTCTCAATCCTATATCTCATTAAGATGCCCAGGAAAAAGCAGGAAATACAAATGGAAGAGGAATAAAACAGA